GGAGTAAAGGGAAACAGGAAGGTGGAGGGGCAAGCCAGCTTTAGACAAAATTGTGAAGCCAGAGAAATTTGTCTTCATCACCCTTTACATGTTACAGGCAGGCTGGTCCTGTATGGTACCAACTCCAGCTGTTGCCCTTAGTCCAATGCCTTCCTTAAATCCCAGAGCCTGGCACTACCATGCTCTACCGGCCCTTCTAGAATGTTTATGTCCTATACCTCAGCCCATCAGGGTCAGGTTCTCTGGTCCTCCCTAAGGGCTAGAGGGGACAGCATTGCTCCTTTCTTCCCACATAGCATCAATATTAACCAAGCTGTAATTAAACAAACACCACCACTTAGCGATAAGACCTGGGTGTGTATTAGCTGCACTACAGTAGGGCAGGTCTCAAAACCTACATAAAACTGAGAAGAAAGGAGTTCAGTCTCCTTCATTTGGGCCCCAAGGCCTTCATGTTGACACTCTGCATTCCACTCAGTTCCTTTAAGACCACTGCCTGGTTTTGGGGGTTGGGGTGGGGTTTGGCCCTTGGAAAGGCTGCCTTTCATGGGAAGCTTCCTTCATGGGTTATAGAATCATGGAACCTCAGAACTGGAAGGGATCTCAGAAGTCAACTAATCTAAATGGTACCTGAACAGGAAACATGCCCACACCCAACAAAGAGCTATCCAGCTTCTCATGAAAGACAAAGACATCCTTCTCCCTTCCCCCCCAAACCCAAGGATAGAGAATTCACTGCCCTGTTGAAGCACTTTGGGATGGCCTATCAGGAAGGTCACTGGGCCTTTCCATAATCAGAGGAAAGAAAGCCCTTGGAAATCAAAGTCCTTTTGAGGTGTGGTGAGGGCAGTTTTCACCTACATACTCTCACTTACCTTTTCCCACTCCCTAGGACCCCCTACTGTAGTATTCCATGGTCTACTCTAGAATCATGTTATATCCCAGATCTCTCATCAGTTCCATCCCATCAGAAAGTCCTGGGTCTCCCTTCCCCTCAGGGAGCTGGTTCTTGGCTCAGAGAGAATACAGCCAGCAGCTAATCTGATACACTAATCCTTGTTAATGGTTTACTGCCTAAACTCTCCTAGGTAATACCTGTTTACATAGATAGATGGATAGATAGACAGACAGACAGACAGACAGATATTTTTAATTGTGGGTGGAGTGGGGGGAGGTTGTAGTAGCTTTCAATGTCTATTCCATTTCTATGTAAAAATGACCCTGTTGGATGTCAGAGGCCTGTGGGTGTGGAGCATTGTATATATTGTTAGATATAGATAGATAGATAGATAGATAGATAGATAGATAGATAGATAGATAGATAGATAGATAGATAGATAAGGCTCCGTGTATGTATAGAGTGTTCAGCCTGGAGTCAGGGACACCTGAGTTCAAATGTGACCTCAGACCTTATTAGCTGTGTGACCCTGGGCAAGTCACTTCACCCTGTTTGCCTCAGTTTCCTCATCTGTAAAATCAGATGGAAAAAGAAATGACAAGCCACTTCAGTATCTTTGCCAAGAAAACCCCATGGATAGTATTAGAGTCCATGGGGTCATGAAGAGTAGAACACAACAACAACAGTTACATATAGGTATATATATATACACATATATGTATACACACCTATACACCTATACACATACACATATACATACACACATATGCATAAGTACATACATAATACATACATATATGTGCATGTATATATATATATATGTTGGTTTGACTGAATTTTTTCCTCTTCTTCCCCTTTTTCTTTTTTTCCTTAAAAAATATTCTTTATTATATGGGATGGCTGTCTTGAAGAAAGTGAAGGGTATAGAGAGATAAGGGAAATCTAGGCAATGTAAACAAAAGATATCACTAAAAACTGACTTTAAAAAATAAAGGGAGAGGGGCAGCTAGGTGGCACAGAGGATAGAGCACCAGCCCTGAAGTCAGGAGTACCTGAGTTCAAATCCGGCCTCAGACCAAACACTTGACACTTACCAGCCGTGTGACCCTGGGCAAGTCACTTAACCCCAATTACCAAAAAAAATAAAAATAAAAATAAAAAAATAAAGGGAGGAAAAAGAGAACTGATCTTACCAGAGCTGTACAAGCCGGGCCTCTGCAGCCACAGAGAGAGGACAGAGCCATAGGACTCCCCAGAGCTGCCCCTGCAAACTATAGCTATTCTATTCCATTGTATTGCTACCCCCATTCGTAAAACACTCTCTGGTTTCCAAAGTACTTTCACATCCATTACCTAGGCGTGATCTTGTCAGGCAGGCAGGACAGGTATTATTAACATTGCCATTTGATTGGTGAGGAAAGTAAGGGAAAGTAGTTTTCCACAGCTAGCCACTGGCAGGATCAAGACAAGATCCCAAATCTCCAGATTTCCAGGTGGGGTACTGGTCCTGCTGCCCCTTACTGACCGGCTCCAGTTCCACCTGGGCGGTCCCTGAAATCTCCTTCTAACTTCTTGCTCTCTCTTTATTATGGGTGGGGAAAATCAAAGCCCAGAGAAACTACCTAATTTACTGTTTGCCTAAAGGTAAGACCTGGTGTCCCGGTGAGAATGATAGCTAATATTTATATAATGCTTACTATGTGCCAGGCACATAGTACTTTACAATTATTGTATTTGATCATTCATATTATCTCCGTTTTACTGATGAGGAGTCTAAGTGACTTGCCTAGAGTCATGCAACTAGGAAGTGTCGAATGTCTGAGGCCAAATTTGAACTCAGGTTTTCTTGACTCTAGGCCCAGTGCTCTATCCACTGCACCACTGGCACCCCAGGACTCTCCAATCTCAGCCCAGGGCCCAGCCCTTCCTTAATGGCACTGCCATGAGCCTGTCTTGTGCCTAAGGAAAGCCCAGGAGCCTGAGTGAGAACAGCAGAGCTGGCCTTACCCCAATTCCACATGTCTTCCAGCTATACTGACAGGGGTTCTGGACATGGGTATTCCCTACCTAAGCCCTGCACCAGCCTGGGCATGAGGAGCCCAAAGTAAGGACTGAGCCAGGATGATAGGAAATTCCTCTCCTCTGGGGGCATCAGTAGAAAACACGGCAGAGTGGGTGAGAAAAGGGGGTTGGAAAGTCTAACCTTAGGATTAGGATATCCTTAAATCCCCCTCTACCAGGCTCTCACCACCCCCACCTCCAGCTGTCTCTTTCCAACAAGGGAAGACAGAATAATAATTAGCCAACCAGGTAATGAGGGTGCAGCTCTGAGTCATCTGGTCACGGGCTGGGAGATCCCAGGCTCGGTAGGGTAGGGCAGGGAGGGGAGTGGCCCCATTGACTAATAGAGATCCATCCGAATGCAATCACACAGTCCTCTCAGTTGGCAGGTATGAACAATTGGGAACCATTATAGACGCAGGATGTTGGCATACCTCATCAAGTTTCTTCTCATCCAATGGAAAAAACCATCCAGGCTCTTGAAAGTGAGGTTGGAAGAGGGTGGGGAAGAGAGGTGTGACTCTTCTACGCTCCCCAAAGCAGGGGACTGATGCATCTGTCAGGGCTCTGTGGCCTCGGGATTCTAGGCCAGGGAAATGGTGGGACAGCTGGTATTCACAGGTGGTCCAGACTGGAATGAACTAGCCTTGGAGCATCATTGGCACCAACAGAACAAACTGTAACACCTCCTGGCATCCAGAGTAGGAATGCTGTGGAGAAGAGGTGCTGCCCATCCTGGGATCCTTGGCAGAAGGAAGCTGGATGTGACTTCCCTGGACAAGGAGCTGGACTTGAAATTAGGAAGACCTGGGTTCAAAGCTTTATGACATATTTGCAAAGTGCGTAGTACTTAGCATAGTGCTTGACACATAATAGGCTCTTAATGTTCATTGCCTTCCCCATCTCAGGCACTTAGGGTGACCCTGGGTAAATTACTTAATCCTTCTGTGCCTTCATTTACTTGTCTCTATAGCAAGGAGGTTATCACTAATGTCTATGAATCTACTGGTCCCTGGAGTGACTTCCCACCTTTCCTCTATCTGGCTTATGGTGAAGATCCCTCTCTTTTGAAGAAACTGAGATTCAGGGAAATCACATCGCAGCCAACCAGGTTCCTTATTACAAAGATCCCAGGAGAGGCCAAGGAGCTGAGACCCTCTGGTCCTCCTCCTTGCCACTGGCTTAGATGTCCCATCACATTCCAGGTCCATGGGCCCGAGGGAGACAGTCCATGGTGCAATAGCCAGGACCTTCAAGAGAGCAGCACTACATCAGGCAGAAGGCCTCCACTTCCACCCTGTAGGGGTACATCCTCCCCCTGTACTCCAATAATCCAGGGGCCTCTCAATCTCCCCAGTTGGAACCCCTCACAGTGGGCAGGGGTCCTGAAAAATAGACCCAAGTCTAGTCTCCGGGGACTGTGGGCGGTTTTCCTGGCTTTGTCTCAGTTCTGCCTGGGCAGGAACTTCCTGCTGGAGAATTCCCGGATCCTCCTGGCCCCACCTGTCTACTGTGACCAGAAGAAGCTGGGACTATAAGGCAGGGTCCCCTGTGAAGGGTCTGGGACACAATACCTTAGGGACAGGCTTCCCAGGGGGTAGTTCTTGATGGTGGGTGGGGGCCACCTGACTTGGCATTGTTTATTCTCAGAATCATGAAATTCTGGAGCTGGAAGGGACCTTGGAGGTTATCTATTGCAACCACCTCATTTTGCAGATGAGAAGACTGAGTTAGTAAATTGCAGAGCTGGGACATGGATGCAGGTCTTCTGTCCCTCCAGTCTAGGTCTCTCCAGTATACCTGGCCTTCTTACCCCCCCCCTTTCCCCATATCCCTACTCATAGTCCCCAAATCTCCTGCTTCTCCCCTGAGTTTTCACATTCCCAATCTGAGCTCTGTAGGCATTCAGAAGACCTGATCAAGGGACAAGATCAATAAACTAAGCAAGTATTTCCCCATGGTAACTCTAACCCTAACCCTGTTTCAGGAGCCAAGAATAAGGGAAGGAGATCAGAAATTGAGAGGAGAGGCTATGCAAAGTCAATCTAGATTTTTAATAATAGTGACTGAGTCTGCTTGGTAAGGGGTACCTTCTGGGCACAACGAGTAGCAATATCAGTCATGTGCCCCAGATGGGAGGACAAATGGACCGTGCCACCCAAGCCCGTAACATAGACATGGGGAAACAGCCCAACCCATGACACCATCTTCATGGAAATGTTAGATGGGGAGATACACCCTCTCCGCCTCTCCATTTCTCCCCCATCCAAGGTATCTGCAGAGGGAGAGAGCAGACTCAGTGGAACCATGACTGGGTCTCAGTCTGGGGGCCAATTTCCCATTTCATCCATTTCTTCCAGGAGCAGGTGCTGGTGGGGCAGAGAAAAAGAGGCAGGAACACTCAAAACTCTCACCTTCCCCATTACCCAATTCCCACATGCCCCTCCTACCAATTCCTCACTTCCCCTTACCTGCTTTTTCCAACCTAGTCCCCCCCTCCCCTGCAAGCTATGTCTCCCCAGTTCTCCTCCCTCCCAACCCTGACCACAAGCCCAACCTCCCTATTTTCCTGCTGCCTTTTGATTCCAAACCACCCGATTTTATGGAGAGAAATGGCTCCTCTCCCAGTTGTATAAGAATCGGAATAGTAATAGTAAAAACTGACATTTATATATCAATTTAAAGTTGGCAAAGCACTTTATATATGCTCTCATTTTAGCTTCACAATCACCCTGTGAGTTAGGCTTAGGGTCAGAAATAGAATTAAGGGAACAGAATCAACTACATACTTTAGTTATTATTATCCCTTTTGCAGATGAAAAAAACTTAATCAGCCAGATTAAGTGACTTGCCCAAGGTAATATAACTTGTAACTATCAGAAACAGGATTCAAATCCTAGATTGGATTCCCAACTCCAAGCCCAGAATTCTCTAGCACACAGTAGATAGCCAACTGGGAAGACTTCTGCTGGGATGTGAGGCACCATGTTGCTGATTCCTTACCTGCCCCATGCCCTTTAACTCCACCTTAATTGCCCTGACTCTCATCCTTACCTCATTACTAGGTGTGGAGCCAAAGTAAGCACAGGGAGGGCAGGTTTATTCTCCCCTTGAGACCCAGGATACTTCTCCTGCCTTTAAAAGGGAAGCAAGGGGAAGCCATGTCTTCTCTAAGGTCCCCAGTATGCTCCTAAAGCTGAGGACCATCCTACCCACTCTACTGCCTGGTATCTCTAAGGGTGGAGGAGGTGAGGGCAACACACTTTTAAAGGCCTCCCAAGATGCCCCTGACGTGGCCCGATCACCCAAAGCCACCACTATATCTATGTGAAATTGGGTTTTTCCTCCATATTCATTTAGTACCTTTCATACCTAATTAATACCATATGAAGCCTGGCCTTCCACGGGCTTAGTATAATTCCTTGGACCACAGTGCTGATACTTAAACTGTGGGGTACCTACAACATCACTAATGTGAAAATGTTTAATAGGAATATATATGTGTTGCCTATATTAGATTGCATGCTGTCTTGGGGAGGGAGGGAGGGAGGGAGGGGGAGAAAAATTTAAAACTCAAAAGCTTATGGAAATTATTGTTGATAAATCAAAATAAATTAATTTTAAAAAACTAGTGGGGGTTGGGGGAGAGGCACTCATAATGACCGAACTTTGCCCAAACACGTACACTTGACCAGTACGAAAATGTTAGAGGAAGGTACTAACTCCTTAGGACTCTAGTCAGATTCTTCTTCAGATGAATGAGTAAGAATGATTTTTGAAGGCATAATGGCCAAAGTTGGGAAGAGAATTGGCATGAGGAGGAGGGGTCACAACAGAGCCATAAGTAGAAATTTTTGACCCTGGGTAAAAGTGTCAATCAACTGTGCAATTAATTTATAATGCAAAAATAATAAAATTAAGACAATTAAGTTGAAGATGATTAGCATTATAATAACCCTACTTTGCACCCTTTAGACTTTGCTATCTGGAGACAAAGCCTTTGTTACCTACCCCTAGTTTCAGTTCTGAGTCATAGTCCAGCACCCTGAATGACAGTGGCATTTTGAGGTAGAGAGATTTATGGTTTGTGAGTACATATGAGAGCCTCGTGTGTGTGTGTGTGTGTGTGTGTGTGTGTGTGTGTGTGATTTTGAAACTTTTTGTGCAAGGTAAATGTGTGTGAAAGAGAGTCCTATTGCCACTCAATATGCATTATTAGAAAACAATAGAATCAATAAAACTATCAGTGGAAAAGGCGTCATTTTGTCCAACTCACACATTTTACAAAGGAGTAAACTGAGGCCCTTGGGGAGAAAGGAGTGTTACTAATGTCATAGAGCTAGTAAAAGCATGATGAAAACCCTAGTCCCCCATCTCTCAGTCCAGGGTTCTTTCCATTACAATGCAGCTGCCTTCCAGACACAGCCTGATTAAAATCTAAAAACTCATCAATGATGTGAACAAGATGAATGGGGACTTAATCCCCAAAACTGGAATGGGAGGGCCCTTTTGACATTTTAAGGAAGTAATTTTAAGACAAATGAAAGAAGATCTTCCTTCACTTCACACACTTGTTATTAAATGTAGGTAGCCCCCATTATGTCAAGGGTTTATAGATAGAAATAGATATTTGTTGAATGAATAGATGGACGGATGGATGTTGAATGCAGTATTAATGAGCTTGAAAAAGGTTTGAATAGTATGGTATAATGGATTGGTCAGCGTCAGCAAGACCTGAGTTAAAATCCTACCTCAGATGCTTACTAGCTGTATAACCCTGGGCAAGTCACTTAATGGCTCTGTGCCTCAGTTTCCTCACCTGTAAAATGAAGGGGTTGGACATCATGGCCTTTAAAGTATCTTTCATGTCTAAAATTAGGATCTTATGATTTTATACACACACATACACACACGCATGTGCATGCGCACATGCATGTATATATGAGTTTAAACTATAAATAACCTTTTGAGAGAAACTGGATTCCACCTATTCCTTAAGGTTGATTTCAAGGGGGACAATCAAACTTTCCCACAGTCACTACCTTGGGACAAATCTGACTTGTGGCAATTTCTGTTATATGTGGGAATATATGAAAGTGTGGAGTATGCTAAGGCACAGGGCTTAGCATAGTGCCTGGCACATAGCAGGCACTTAATAAATGCTTATTGACTTACTGACTTCAACAGTAATAAGGAGAAGTGGAGCAGCTAGGTGGCACAATGGATAGAGCACTGGCCCTGGAGTCAGGAGGACCTGAATTCAAATCCCATCTCAGACCAGAGACATGACACTAGCTGTGTGACCCCAGGCAAGTCACTTAACCCCAACTGCCTTGCCAAAAGAAGAAAAAAAAAAGAGAAGAGAGAAGAGAAGAGAAGAGAAGAGAAGAGAAGAGAAGAGAAGAGAAGAGAAGAGAAGAGAAGAGAAGAGAAGAGAAGAGAAGAGAAGAGAAGAGAAGAGAAGAGAAGAGAGATAAGGTGAAGTAAATTTGGTCACCCTTAGCTCAAAGAGCCAGAACTCCATTCCTCTACAGATCTTTGGCCACACACAACTTGGTCTGCATAAATTTGGTGGAAGGAAAGGGGCTATCAAGTTATATGTAAAAATGTTTATGAATTGGGAAGGATATAAGAGGATGCAAGAGCATGCCAGAGCAAGGCCTTTGGAGATACAATAGCTGCCCCCAAAAGAGAATTCTCCTCCCAGAATGACTGAGTAACTAACAAAGAGAGAATGGGCCTCAGGAAGGAAGGGTAGGCTGGAGGAAAGCTGGGATGAGTTCTTAGTAAAGATTTTTCCTGCCTTGGCTACAGCATCATCAGGTTGAACCAGAGGATCACCAACAAGGCTACTTTCAGCTTTAATATTCTAGGATTCTGGAATTCCTGACACCCTAGTTTCCTTGATGTCTAGAAAGCAACTGGGTCATTGGACAAAACCATACCTGGCCATCCACAATGCCCGCCTCTTCCAAGGTGATCTCAGGATAGATCAGAAGTTCTCGACCTTCCTGACCACCTGTCTTCCAGAGCCGAGACTCCCTCTGAACTGCCAGCACCTTCTTCAGCTCATTCTCCACAAAGCCTAGAGGGAAACAATCACCATCATGATCATTACCACCACCATCATCAATACCATTATCACCACCATTATTACCACCAATGTCATCTTGGATTTCTAGCCAAGATGACCACACTCCAGCAGAAGGCAGTTCATTCATGTTCTTCATACCCACTCCAGCAAAACCTTAAAGTTCATACCAAACTGAATAATGATTGAGAAATCCATTGAGAAACTACTGTTTACCTTAGAAGAGCCCAAAAAGTCAGCCCCCACCCCAATGCAAGAGTTAACCCACAGAGCTAACCCAATGAAGGGAGGGGGTAATCCTCCCAAAGAGATGGTAGCTTGCAGTGTTTACGGTGGATAGATGGAATAAGCTGTTGTTAAGTTATCTCCTAAGGAAGCTTGCCTTAGTGGTGAAGTAGATAGAGCACTGGGCTTGGAGTCAGAAAGACTCATCTTCACAAATTCAAATATGGCCTTAGACACTGACTAAGCTGTATGACCCCGGGCAAGTCACCTAACCCTGTTTGCCTCAGTTCCTCACCTGTAAAATGAGCTGGAGAAGGAAATGGCAAATGACTCCAGTATCTCTGCCAAGAAAACCCCAAGTGGAGTTACAAACTCTTCTGATGAAGAGTCTGACTGGACAGAAACAATTCAACAACAACAACAAAGTATCTACTATGTACTAAGCACAGGAACTGTGTGCTAAGTGGTTTACAAAGATCTCATTTGATCTTCACAACAATCCTGGGAGGTAGGTGCTATCATTTCCCCCAATTTATAGTTGAAGAAACTGAGGCAGATAGGTCAAGTGACTTACTTGCCCACACAGCTAGTAAGTATCTGAGGTCAAATTTGAATTCAGTTTTTCCCGATCTTGACCCAGTGTTCTATCCACTGAGCAACCAAAAACCTGACCTAGAAAATGAGAGGAAATAAACATTTACATAACATCTACTAAGTGCCAGGCACTGTGCCAATAAGCACTTTACAAATATTATCTCATTTGAGTCTCACAACAATCCTGCATGGTAAATGCTGTTATAACCCCCATTTCACAGTTGAGGAAATTAAGGCAAATACAGAGGTTAAGTGACTTGCCCAGGGTCATGCAATTAGTAAGCGTCGGAGGCTGGATTTGAACTCAGGAAAATGAGTCTTTCTGTATCCAGGCCCAATGCTCTATCCCCTGCTTTATAATAGATAGGTCAAGGATAGCTTATTTAAGAATTATTGAGTACTGTGAAAACTACGGTTTTTAAAAAAAAAAAGCCTGGGCACTATATTTCAAGAAATCAGAAATAAAAACTGCTCAGATCTATTAGAGACAGAGGGTGAAATAAAGATAGAGTCCACTGATCACTTTCTAAAGGGAAACCCAAAGGAAAACTTCCAGGAACATAATAGCCATAATGCTGCAAGCATTCAGAAATAAACAGTTCAGAAACCAAAGAACCATGGTCTAGATCACACAAAACTGAAAGCTCCTACCAAACACCAAAGGAAATCTTGATATATGATATTCCAAAAGGCAAAAGAGATAGGCTTACAACAAAAATAACTTGCCCTACAAAGCTGAGTATAATCCTACAGAGGGTAAAAACGAAAATGAATCTTTAATGAAATTGAGAACTTTCATGCATTTCTGATGAAAAGATCAGAGTTGAATAGGAACTTTGAAATATAAACACAAGAATCCAGAAAAATCTAGAATGATAAATGTATTTGGTCAACTGGAAGAAGCTGTAAGATGATACAGTACTAACATTCTAATAAGAGTAGAAGAAATAAATGCCCCTCCAGAACTTTAATATGTTCAGAAGATAGTGAAGGAGATAAATAAGAAAAACAGAGGTCCCTATGGGCAGCTAGGTGGCACAGTGGCTAGCATACCTGCCCTGGAGTCAGGAGGACCTGAGTTCAAATTCTGCCTCAGACACTTACTAGCTGTGTGACCTTGGGCAAGTAATTTAACCCTAACTGCCTCAAAAAAAAAAGAAAGAAAGGAAGGAAGGAAGAAGGAAAGAAAGAAAGAAAAGAAAGAAAGAAAAAACTGAGGTCCTGGTTGGGGAGGGAGCATTGATTGATTCTATTCTGAGGGCTTAAGAGAAGGAAGAATTAGAAACTATTGGGTTTTTTTAGTGTGTGTTAAAAAAAATTTTTTTTATATCACCTATATTTTCTTTTTTTTTTTTTAATTTCTTTTGGGTGAGGCAGTCAGGGTTAAGTGACTTGCCCAGGGTCACACAGCTAGTAAGTGTCAACCATCTCAGGCTAGATTTGAACCCAGGTCCTCCTGACTCATTAAAAACTATTGATGACTGGTTTATTGGGGTATATGAGAAGAGTATGCAATCCTGGAGGAAAGAGCAGGGGAAGTAAGAACCTCATTCTTATTTGAAACAAAGAAGAAGTGAATATACATACTAATAATATGGTATAGGAATGTAAAAATATATCTAACCCAACAGAGAAACAAGCAGAGATAGAAGAATGATTGAGGTGGAGGATAATACAAAGGAGGGCAATAGCTGCAAGGAAAACAAACTTCCTAATCCTGAAGAGTTCAAATAGAGGAAACAAGGAAAAGAACTAGAAATCTAAGCAATTAGCTTAGATCACAAAATGGTGGAACAAATTGTATGTGAATATAATGAAATATTATTATGCCGTAAGAAATGATGAAAACTATTATTCCAGAGAATCCTGGGTGATGTGAATTGATCCAGACCAAAGTGAGCAGAATCAGGAGGACGATTTACACCAGATCAACAACATTGTGAAGAAAAACAATTTTTAGAGACTACACCTCTCCAAAGGACCTAGGAAGCAGCATGATACCTACCTCCTGACCAAGAGAAGATTGACCAATGTGCATAACGTGTCCCAACGTTTTTGGATATGGCGACTGTACAGATTTGTTTTGCTTGACTATACTTATTTGTTGCAAAGGTTTATTCCCCATTTTCTTACTCTCAGTTAATTGAAGATGGAGGGTCAGAGGGAGAAGGGAGATAAGCAGTAGCTATGCAAAAAAAAAAAAAGCAAAAAAGCCATTGTAACTTTTTTTGATTAACTCAAGGGAAAAAATAGGAGGAAGTTCAGGAAGTATGGAGCTCAAAAAGTAATGTGTAGAATTTCTTTTATATACTTTTAAAAAATACGATATGAAAGAGATTCATAGTTTTATATAGGATCTTCTGTGTTCTGGTGTGTATTTCTTTTTTTGTTGTTTAAATTCAGAATAAATTGTTTTAAAAATTAAAAAAGTAATATCTTTAAAAAAGCCATATAATATTGATGAAACATTGACCCCATCACCCTAAGACAACTATGTAAAAGTTAGCACTTTCACTCCAAAAAAGAAGCGTGATAGATATTCTTAAAGTACACAATGAATGGGTCAAAAACCTACAGAATTACAGATATCACTTTACTACATAATGGTAAAAGCTGATAATATGAATATGCCATTGGGAGTTCATGAAACAGCTAAGATCTAAGAATGGAATCAAAAGGCTCTACATGGGTGATATACCCATGAACTTAATCAGCAATATGTCAACAAAGAAGTATAAAGGACATAACTTAATGATGCGGAAACCAAGGAATTCATGATGGCAATTCAGGACCAGGTCACTGCCATCTGAACCTACAAAGGGTCATCTTTAAGGAGTCTAGACTTAGTAATCAATGTACGCTATGCAAAGAAACAGTGGGGACTAAGAAACACATCCCTTTGGGTTATAAGTATCTAGCTCTTCCTAGATGCATAGCAAAACATGATTTGGTGGCTAGAATTATACATCAGAAGCTTGGTGTGCAATTCACTGAACTTCAATGAGTCTTGAAAGAGAGAGTGAGGCTAGCTCTATGCAATGCTGCCCCACTGAAATCCAACCCTGTGTTGTCATTGGTCCTCTTCAAAAATGAAGGACGAAGGGGCAGCAAGGTGGCACAGTGGATGGAGCACTGGCCCTGAAGTCAGGAGGACCTGAGTTCAAATCCGGCCTCAGACCAAACACTTGATACTTACTAGCTGTGTGACCCTGGGCTTAACTTAACTTAACCCCAATTGCCTAAAAAAAAAAAATGAAGGATGAACCCTAACATACAGTTCTCAAATTATCTTGGAGGTGCAGCTGGATGGCACAGTGGATAGAATTCTGGCCTTGGAGTCAGGAGGACCTGAGTTCAAATCTGGCCTCAGACACTTGCCACTTACTAGCTGTATGACCCTGGGCGAGCCTCTTAATTCTGATTGCCTCACCAAAAAGCAAAAACAAACAAAATAAAATTATCTTGGCCAACTTCACCAAGGTACTATACCAGAAACCAGATTATTATTATAGACCTGCCCACAATTACCTGGACATAAAATCAATTCACAAAACATTTGTAATAGATATCACCATACTCAGTACTCAGAAGTTCCAAGCTGCATGGAAGGAGTAGCTCTCACTACGCAGAGAGCTGGCCAAGGAGAGCAAAATCCTGTTGTCCTGTCTGCTGCTGGAGCTAGACCAAGAATTCTTTCAATGAGCCTACAGAGAATGAAGTTATAGTCTAATACTTGTATGCAACTAGAAAAAGTAGCAATTTTACCCACTTGTACAAAATAGCTACTTTTTTTTTAATTTGAGGTTTCACAATTATTCTGCATGTGTCTGTGGATTCTTAAGCCCACTCATCCTCCATCCCACCTCTACCAAAATGGTATATTGGGAAAAGGGCTGATTAGCCCTTTTTTTTTTCCATTGGAAAGTACAACAGATTGTCCTTTCGGTAAGACAAAGCATTTAAAAGAATAATGAGGAGGATAGCTGCTTATGTCAGAACTCCAATGACAAAGATGAGAAAAGTGAGATAATAATTTAAAAAAGAAGCAAGAGGATTGATATCGATTACATGTCAAAAACCATGCCATTAGAATGCCATTCCGGATGCAATCAAAAGTGATTTACCTTTGCAGTAATGAAGCCAACAAAATGGCAGACCTAAGAGTGGAATCCAAA